TCTGTCCAAAGATGCTTAGTGGACGACATTGTGATATCACACCACGGTGGGGGGTGGGGTGGGGGGAGGGGCCCACTGCTGGTGTCAGGGAACAGGCCTAAAGAAATGAACACATCTGGGTTCTGCTCTGGGCCAGAGCTGCTCCAGAAGCAGTGAGTGAGTAGTCTCTGCCTTGCTAGAGACTATCAGCCTAGGAGCAGGATTAGGAAGCAGCCCAGTGTCATGTGTCCCGGCTGGGTCAACACAGGCAGATCAAGTCCAGCATTTATACTGCTGTCCCACGCAAATTGACTTCAGTGGGGGTACCCCCAATGCTCAACTTTCCCTTTGCACATTTTTCATGATTGATTTAAAAGTCAAGGCAGACCCCTGGCTTTTCCCCTGCTGGCCCCCTGGTGTGTTCAGAGGGCAAGCAAAATAATTTAAATATTCACTCAGGAAAACAAGAATGTAAATCTCCCCACCCTCTGTCCATCTCTTTAGTTAAATCAAGCACAGACATCTTTTAGGTTATCTTCTGTAATCTGTATGCCTGCTGTTTTCCATTGGAGGGAACTGGTGATTAGGTACAACTTAACAATAATCACCCCCACAAAAAAAAAGACTTATAAAAGGGGTCAAAGTCTAAAAGGTTTCTTGAGGTTCCATCCCTTCTCCCTCTGTGCTGTCATTTGGGAGGTTGGGAATGGGAAGCATTCTAACCAAAGAGCACATGGCCCTGCCTTGGAAATGGTCCTGAATTTTAGAGTCTAAAACAGTGGTTTTTAAACTTTAGGCTACATTCACATCTCCTAGGGAGCTTGTTAAAATATAGATTCCTGGGCCTTATCCCCCAGAGTTCCTGATTCACTAAGTGTGGGGTAGGACCCAAGAACGTGCATTCCTAACAAGCTCCAGGGCACTGCTGTTACTGGTCAAGGGTCTAAACCTTGAGAACCATTGCTCAAAATTGTAAGCAGTGCTAGTCTCCTGGGTTTGAATAGCACTGTCTGCTGATGGCAGTGTTCTGGGTTTGCTGGAGAACAAAACAGGAGCTATAGCTTTGGGGCCAAAGCCAGCCGGCCCTCGGGGTTCAGCCACCCAGCTTTAGTGAGGATCTGTTCATGACCAGGGCTGAGCCATGTTGAGGAGGCCAGCTGACTGTGTCCATGCACTGTAGCTTTCTGGCTTTACCACTTGAGTGCACACAGGTAGCCTGACTTCCAGGTGTCAGCACCTGTCTCTCTTTGTTTGGGGGCTTTCTCCAGCTGCTGGAGCCCACCTTGTCTTTTAAGAAACATTCTCAACCAACTGTTGTTAATGGTTGGTGGATAAATACCCTAGCTCCCTCCTGTGCAGGTGTGGTAACTTGGAGGCATGATCTGTACCAGCTCTTGGTCCCCACAGGGCCAAGCGCAGTTGCCCACAGGGGTAACTGCCTTGGTAACACACCATCTTGCTGCTCTCCCTCCCTGGCTCTCCTCCCCATCCCCTACTGTAGTTTCCTGGGATCACTCCTAAATAAATGACTTGTACCTGAATCCTTGTTTCAGGGTCTGCTTCTAGGGGACCCCAAGCTAAGAGAGTGTGAATAAGTTCACATTTAGAGGGGGAAAGACATATCATGTGGCTTAGTACAACCAGGAATTTCTGGGAATTGCTGGTGAGTGCTGAGTTTGGGGGCAGATGGCTGCGTTCTGCTGCTTGATTTTTGGAGTGTCATCAAGGATGCCTTGAGGAAATGGAGGAGCTCAGCTGGTCCTCTCAGGGGGAGGCCATGGGGATAAGGGGGCCTGGCAACCAGGACAAAAGGCCTTTTCTTTCACACAGGGAGGCCTGAATGTGCTACCTGCAGAGGACTGATTTGCTATGCAAATATCTCTTGCTTTGCACCTCCCTGGACAATTCCTCTGGAAAGAGGACTATGGAGATAGCCCTGGCACCATATAAATTATGGCTCTTGTTAGGTTTTGGGGTCTGTCACATCATTGGAGAGAGGTTCATAAGGGTCTCTGCTAGCCTGATAGGATGGACACACTTTCCTAGGTACTCACCCCACAACATGGCACTGAGCAGGTTAGTCTGACTCCTCTATGGCCTTGGCAGTGGGCCGTAAACCCTCAACTCCTCCCCATCATTGTCACTGGCCCTGACAAAGTCCCTACACATATAATCCAAATGAAAACAGTGTGCATGGCATCAAAATACTCTTCAAATTAAGTTCCTACCCACCTCCAATCAGACACATGTCATGTACAGAAATTCTGAATCTGCCACTGATTGGACCCAATTGCTGCTTGGCTGCACACTTTCACAGATCATTCTTAGGGGACAAGCCACCCCAGAGTTCTGCTTTTCCCACATTCCAACTTGGCTAGAGGGACAACAAAGCCTATTGTACTAGAGCATTGTGTCAGTAACAGGTTAGCCTTTTCAGCATAACCCAGGACTCAAAAAATAATTGGCTATGAAACAGCCATTAGCCCTTCCTCTAGACAAAAGGATCACACACAGGAACTGGCTGGATTCCCAGACCTCAGCCCAGAGCTAGGAGATTAAAAAGCAGCTAGCTTATGCCTTCAAAGACAGTGGTCTTAATGTCACCTCATCTTTTATACTCCCAAAGCCACAAAAATACCTTTGATCCAATCATGTTATTTTTGCAATTCTTTTAAATGAACTAATTTAAAATAAAGGGGAAATACATGTCCCTGTGTTAATTTCAGTGTCAATGTGGGAAATTGGAAATAATTTAAACATCTAATAAAGGAATGATTAAATACATAGCAGAGAATTCCCTTGTTGGAATATTAGGAGCCATGAATATAATGGCCAAGAAGACCGCAGGCTAACAGAGAAGAATGGTACTAGTAAGTGTAAATTTAAAAAGCAAAAAATCCAAAAGTTACAACTGCAAACACTTGCTGTGAAAAAGTGTTCAACATCATTTGTGATCAGCGAGATGCAAATGAAAACCACCACATGGTCACAAGAATGGCTAATATCACAAAGGAGGCAAGGCTAAGAGTTGGTAAAGATGTGGAGAAAACTGAACTCCCACACATTGCAAAATGGTACAATCACTTTGGAAAACTGTTTGGTAGTTTTCTGTGAAGTTAAACATATAGATCTACTCTATGTCCCAGCAATTCCACTCCCAAGAGAAATGAGAACAGCTCCACAATTGTACAGGATATTTACAACTTCTTAATTCATAATATCCCCAAACTAGAAACAACCAAATGTTCACCAACAGGTGAGTGAATAAACAGATTATTGCATATTCTTACAGTGAAATATTAGTCAGCAATGAAAAGGAAAAACACAGATATATACATGATAACATGAGTACACAGAGCAGCAGAGGGCAGAGACTAAAGAGTACACTTGGCTCCATTTACATGAAGATGAGGAACAGGCAAAACTAGTCTAAGGCTGCAGAGATAAGTTCAGTAATGTGATGGCTTGGAGGAAGAGATTGGAGGAATGGATTAAAGAACAAGGCAACTTTGAGGGGTAAAGGAAATTTTCTACATCTTTAGCATAGTGGTGGTTACTCAGGTGCGTACCTTTGTCAGAACTCACTGACCTGCACACCTAAAATGTGTGAATTTTGAAGCATGTAAACTATACTCCATAAAGGTGAGAATACGTGTATATTATTTGTGGTGTGTGTATGTGACATATCTGACATATACATGCATTCACATACATGTATACACACATACACAGAGGCATACATTGGTTGCCTAGAGAGGAAAATCAGAAGGAAATACACTAAAATGTGAAAAGTGGTTGTGTTTCATGACTGAGATGATTAGAGATGACTATTTTTTTCTCAGATTTGCCAAAATCTTACCTGTATGGTTCTTTTTTTAATGTGATAGAATGAAAAACATTCATTTTTTAAAAATGCTCCAAGGTGCTGGAGGCAAGTGTTTATGGTGGGCTACAATACCCTAGGTTTGTATTGCATGTTTGTGCAATGAAGTCCTACGGATTTTTTTCCTGTATGTCCACCAATCTAAATCCTCAGGCTAGGCCCAAACCTCACATTGCCTACTAAATCCTTCATAATGTCTTTGCTGGAAACAAATGCTATTTTATATTTTCCACCATCTTTTCATGTGTTGTTTCTCTGAAGCAATATATCTTTATTCTTTGTATTCCCAACAGCCTCTAGCACAGAAATTTGGAGAAAATAGACCTGAGCTGGCACAGGGTCACTATGTACAGTGGTTCAGGCTGTGCACTGCATGAACTCCAAAGAATGATACAAATGGCTCTCCCCTGCTGTGGGGACAGTGCCCTCTGTGGTTGTGCAGAGTCCTTGGTCAGAGTCCCTGTCCCACCACTTCCTAATTTCATGACTCTGAGGAACTTACCTCCTGAGCTTCAGTTTCCTTATTTATATAATAGGGATGTTGGGATGCTTGAATGGAGATAGTGTGTGTTCAAAGCGCTCTGTAAACTGTAACACACTCTACAATGTTAGATGTATGACTCTCACAATAAATTTGTTTCTGCCTTTCCTTACACCTTGCTCATTACCATCACTTCCTCATTAGCTTTCACTCAGTTCCCTGAGGTCGTCTAACATGTTCTTACCTCATCACATGCTGGTCTCTCTTCCTGGAACACTTTGCACTCATACTGTTCCACATCTGTTTGCTTCGGGCAATACAGGGTTTCAGCTGCACTGTCACTCAGGGCTCTACCTAAGCATCCTATGATAGCCTCCTCTTCTCTATCATTTTCTGTCTCATCACCCTGTGTCATTAGTGCCTGAAATTATTTTGTTTGTTTAATGCCGATTGTCCACTTCCCAACCCAAACCTTTGTGAAGAGGGTCTATGTCTGTTCTGCCCATGCTATATCTCCAGGCCCTGGAGCACAGTAGGTGCTCAAAAATCATTTACTGAATGAACGAACAAATTATCATTGATAAGTAGGTAATATGTTATATTTATTCAGTTCAGTCTGCCAACTGTTTTCTAAGCACAAGAAATGTGTGAGGCAAATACAGTTTGTTCCCATCTCTGCTGAGAGTGGGAACCCACCCCAGTGGCTGAAGGAGCCTGCCCAAGACGTGCCCAGTGGCCACAAGTCTGAATGTTTGCCACTGATTCTGTGCGAGAGAAGGCTCCAAGTCAGCCACCATGTCGCGAGGACCCAGGGAATGAGGAGGGCATTGTGCCGCTGCAGAGACGGATGGTTCCCAGAACGGCTCGGGAAAGCACCTCCCTCTGTCTGGGCACACTTCCCCCAGCCAGGTACTTTCCTCCTTTTCCTTCTCCCTTTCTTTTCCAGACTGTGAACAAGGAAATCAGGCCAGCTTTACCTGTGTTCCTTGTAGCTTTCGATGGAGGGTTTCTGTAAAGTTCTGGAGTCTCTGTAAGCGCCATCAATGGCACAGTGGAATTTTCTAATCCATGCCAAAGATGGAGTTCATTAATTTTCCTGCCTGAGAGAAAGAAAACACTTCTTTAGGAACTGGCAGGTTTAGCATTCTGTGGAAGGAGGGTGAGGCCTCCCTACGAGGAAGATTAATCTAGGTTTGTAGGAGGGTCATTCAGGGAAAAACCAGTACACTGAAAAGTGCTCACAGGCATGTGAGGGCCCTGGGTGTGGTGCACACCTATGGCTGCCTGATGCCTGTAGGCCGAGGTGTGGCAGGGCCCTGGGAGACTGAACAGAGGCAGGAATGCACCCCACCACCCACTAAAGTGCCCATCCAGTACATTCTTCTGCCAGCTTTCTTCCTTCCTCTTCTGAAATGTGCATGATTTCTGGAGGGATCACTCCTGAGGCCCTGCTCTTCAACTTGGCAAACCGGTGGGCCGTTTCCAGTGCTTAGACCTGATGCCACCACATAAATAGCTGGAATCTTTTTACACAGTGATCAATAATTTAAAACTTTGTGTTATTTTTAAACAAACAATGTATATGTATAAACAGAAAATAATGTAGAAGGAAAAGGTAAAAAATATCACATTGGGGATTTAAGACTTTGGGTGATATTTCTACATTTTTCCTGATACTTTTTTCTGTATTATCTGCATTATATATTCATATACATTACTCTTATATCATAAAAATTACCATAAAATGATTTCCATTTCCAGAAAATCTGTCTTTGTGGATATATTTTAGAGAATAATGCAAAGATCACTTGGATCTTTACTATAAATCTTAGGGTCTTTCTGATGCAGGTGGTTTAGAGCCCAGATCCCTGAACCTCAATATCCACCTTCACTATCTTCTGCCATTAGAGGCAGTTTGGTGAAAATGTTTGAGAGGCATTGCATGGTAAGTCAGTAAAACTTTAGTATGAATTAGTCTGAGTTCATCTCCCTCTCTTCTCTCACATGCACCCCCACAGATGGCACCCAGGACTCTGTGAGTCTATGGACTCACAGTGAAACGACAGAAGGAATGAGAGTTGCATAAATTAAACCAGATAACTAAATTCTATTCAGGCCTGGATTTTTCTGACTATAGTGACCATCAGCAGTCTGAAAAGGAGTGTCAGTGGAGCTACAGGCTATGGTCTCACTCCACCAAATCTAAATTTTCTGCAGTGCACATTTAGACTGGAGGCTGGGCTGGCCCTGAGCTGAGCCAGTCTGCTTAATCTATTAGCTGGTTGAAGGGCCTGCCAGCCCAAAGGCAGAGCTGAACTCAATTGCCCTAGCAGGCTCTTTCCAGATTTATAATACTTTCTTTTTTTTTTGTTTCTGGTTTAAAGACCCTTTTCAAAACTATATATATATATATATATATAAAGCTGATTAACAGAGTTTGAGACAAGCCACATGATGATTAAGTGGTTAGGGAAAGGACGTGGTAGAAAGGTTTAAAGAGCTGCAGTTTTTAAGTCTGGTTGGAAGAACTTGGAGGAGGGGATAGAATAATGATTTTTAAGTGCCAGGCACTTACTAATCAACTCTCATGCACTCTGTGAACACTTAGCAGACACCCAGCATTAAGCAGGGTGCCTTAGCTCTGTCCCTAAGCCATAAAGAATAAGACTTAAAGAAATAAATACACAGTGAGGTAGCAGTGATTTAAGCTAGACCTAAGAAAGGACTTTGTGAAGCTAAAGACAGTTCATTGCAGAACCAGAAATCACAAGGAAGTCAGAAAGAAGAATGTGTGTCTCAGGCCACTTACAAGTTTTTATCATTGTTCAAGTCATAATTCCTATACACAGGCTCTACCTGCAAACTGGCGCCCAGTTGTGTTGGGCATCCTCTATATGGAGCTGGTTATATGGGAAAAAAATGCATCAGTGGTTTCTGTGGAGGAAGCAGTTCTCTGGGCTCTCCAAGGGCAGAGAGAAACCAAGTTCCATCTACCTTTGCATACACACCAACAAAAGAGGACCTGGCAAACTTAGGGCCTGATTCCAGAATGACCAAAGATAGTCTTTGAAACGTGAAGTGGGAGGAGATCGTTCAAGGTTAGGGAGCATATGCTCTGGGCAGAGGCACAGAGTGGGCACACATGAGAACAGGCAGAACTTGCTGAATGTAGGAAGGCAACAGGCTATGGGATTCACAAAAGTCAGACAGAGAAGTGAAGATTTGACATGGGGGGAACCATTTTAGGCTCCTGAGGGGTAGGCAAGAAAGAAGGAAGTAGTGGTTTTAGAAGGTTAAGTTTGCTAAAAGTGAGCAGGATGGATTGGAAAGAGAAAGAAAAAAAAGAAGACAGGTCTTTCATAGTTCCTGTATACAATTTCACTCTATTTACTTTGGAACAACTACTAAAAGCTGACTGTCAGTCTAATGAATTATTGATTGCCTGAGACTATAATATGGGCTGATAGAGCATAGGGCCCTATTTGTCTTGCTTTCTGCTGAATTCTTAGCACCTAGCATAGACCTTAGCAGACAGCAGTACTCCATGAGTATTTGCTGAGTGAATAAATAAGCAAACCAGGAACAGGGGACAAAGTTCGGGAGTCCTGAGTTCTTTATCACTTGTAATCTTAGAGAAGAGCCAAGACGTCTAACTAGCGAGGTTAATTAAGGATGCTTTCTGTCAGGGACAGATGAAGCCCTGTTGTGCCTAACTCAGTGGCCCTTGGATTTTGTAGCCAAATAACCAGTGTGAGGCATCTAACCATTCCAGGCTGACCTGAGGGCCATGAAGTGTTTCTCATGTCTGGTACTTCCCGTCTGAGACAGAGGAGTATGATTCTAGACTTCCTAGGACAACACAGATAGGCAGCACAACTGGATAGTGTCCTCAGCTCAACTAAAACATTTTTGATAGTTTACCAAGTACTCACTGTTATCCAAAGAGTAAGCTGAAAGGGAGACTCGGAGTTCTGGAAGGGCTGTGGAAAAGCAAAAGGTTTCATTAACTCATGTAGGGTCTGTTATACCTGCTCATTTCCCCACTGGCTTTTCTCAATGGGGAAAACAGAGGGGACATATCATGGGAAAATGTCATTTTTGGAATCTTGGAGGCTTATTTAACTTTGTCATTCGTAAGTGTGAGGTTTTGAGCAAGCCACTGTACTTCTCTGATCACCAGCTGCCTCATCTGTAACTGGAGGGAAACAATTATAATATTTGCCTCCCATGGTTCTAGTAAGGATCATTTGCAAGGCACTTTAGAAACAGGAAAGTGTCAAACATCATTAGTCTGTTTTTTCCCCTTGTTCTTTTTGGGGACTCACAACCAGCCACGAGTCAATCCTTGTTTTTGCAAAAGCTCCTATCTCTAAACTCACTTCCAATGTCACCCAGACAGCAAACCAAACATTCTTACCCAAGTTATCTTTTACTACCACTACCAACAATAAAAACTGGTGATTTGGGTTCACACTTACCATCTATTTTCCTTGTGTAAAGTTTATTTATTTTTTGACAGTTACTTTAGTCTAGAGAGATTTTTCTTTAATTATATAACAGCATTACTCTGCTTTTGGAAAGCTCTATTGCAGAATTTAAATAATCTGTTCTAGATTTTGCAAAAATATATAATAAATGTGCTAACCGAAGAGTAGAAAGATCTGCATTCTCTTTAAACATTTTTTAAACACTAAATTTGTGTTTAAAGGCGCTCAAAGGGCCCTACATTCATTCATTCCTTTGCTCATTCATTGAAGAAATATTTATGGATTTTGAACCAACACTGTTACTGCCCCATTCACATGCTGTCCGCTGTTCCTGTGCATATCAATAGCCTCTGATTGCAAACACTAGCAGCCTTCTTCCTTGTGGCTTTCTCTAAGGCATGGGCTGGAAATGCCAGCAGCAGCCTTCAACTAGTGACATATAGTATTGGTGAACACATACTCCAGCTTCCTCACTTCTCAGTTTGGGTAACTGAGGCATACACCACACTGTCTCCTAGAGTTCCTCAGTGAGAATGGGCTTCAGCTGGTGACAGAGCAACTGTTCACTGGCTGTCCTCCCTTCCCTCAGTTTTCCACTTCCTTCTCGGTGATTCCTTGGGATCACCTTCCAGATAAATTGCTTTCGCTCACATCTTTTTTCCCAGGTCTTTTGGGGAGATCCAGCCCAAGGCAAGTTTTTACCAGAATCAAGGCACTGGGCTTGGTGTTCCAGGAACATAATGATGCATCAGTGAGAGCCACTGGGAGTGAAATGTGTGCAGGAATGTCAACATGAACATGTACAGTATTTCATCTTTCTAAGTTTCAAATCCTATTGGATCTCACTCTCACTCACTTTTTCCCTCTTTCTTACACACACACACACACTCCACTCCAGTCCAGATGACTATTACATTCAGTGGTATGGAGGAGTCAGCTGGCTCATAAGAGCTGATTGTCAGTTGGCTCATAAGAGAAGATACATTTTTAGGGATTTTTCAAGCAGTTCATTAAACATAGCTATTATTAAAAAGTTAATTATATAAACTTACAATGAAATAGATTGATTTTAAAAACAGTACTCAGTCCCATCACTTCCTAATTATTTTACTACACTTACTATTTTATACATGTCCTTGAGATTATTGATAAGGTTATCTACATGGTATATAATGGTACGTTACTGCAAATTTCTTCCCACCTGTGTTCAGTGATTCAGTAGCTTGAATCAGCTATGATAGGAGTATTTACACCACAGAAACTGGCAATGCTACAAATTAGGAATTCCCTCTACCCACCACCAAGCCAGCCTTTTTCTTGCTGGTTTTCCAGGTTGCACTTAACAGTGCTTACTATTCTTTATTTCTAGAAGCCGTCTCCCCTCCATGGACTGATCTTATCCTAATTTGCCTTTTCCATCTTTCTTGGACTCAATGGTAGATTACATCAGTGGTACCATTTCTACACTGCTTTCCCCCCACCATGCCCGTATTTCCCCTCCTCTCAAACTGGGCTTGTCCTTATTACATGCTTTGGTCAACGGAAAGAGGTGGATATGATGTAATTATAAGCCCTCAAGAGACCTTGTGTGTTTCTGCTCCTTTTATTTTGCTTAAACCATTGCCAAGAGAAGTAATTGCCTCTCTAGTTCACTGATCCCAGGAGAAGGGAGTGAGCCAAGTGGAGCAGAGCTTCTAAGGTGCTCCAGTCAAGCCCAGACTGAAGGTGAATCTCCAGCCCATCTGAAGACCCATGGGTGAGCCAACCAAGGTCAGCCAAGCCTCAGCTGACCCACAGATGTGTGAACTCTAATTAGAAACCATAATTGTTTTAAGCCACTGAGTTTTGGAATGGTTTTTTACACAGAAAAAGGTGATTGATATAGACTCTTTTGTGGGTTTTCTCTGTCCAGGACTCAAGCATTGGCTATCTCCTATCTCTACCCATGTGCACTCCCAGCTCTGTATGCTGTATATGATCATCTCTGTCCCTAAGGTTTGGACCTCCACTCTTATGCATAGGTTTCCAAACTGTATCACCCACACTGGCCTCAACCCTTGAGCTTCAGACCTGCAGAAATAGCATCTCCACCTGGACTTCTCTCAGGTTCCTCCAATGCAACATGTCAAAACAATATGCAATGTCCTCCCCAAGTCCTGTTCCCCACCTGTCCAGTCTCCTGTGTGTCCTGCCTCAGCAGTAACACCACTGCATTCCCTGTCACTCCAGCCAGGAACAGGGGCTCCTGGGGGGCTCCTCCCTGTCCCTTGCATCCCATGGCCATCAAGCCTCATTTACTTCACCTCCTAATCACCCCTCACCCAGGACCCTTGCACCTCACACCCTTGCCACTGCCCTGTTCAAGCCCCATCCCTGGAGCTATTGCAATGGTCACCCATGCTAATGGGTCCCCAACCAAGGTGAAAATCACAGTTACAGAGACAGTGATCTCAGCTGCCATTGAATACAAACCCTTCGCTGAGTCACCACCACTGAAGCCGTACAGGAACAGAATCTGGCATCAAATGCAGTGGTTATACGCATGGACCCTGAGGTCAAACATACTTCCTCTGACTAGCCCTGTGACTTTGGGCAGGTTACTCAATCTCTCTGTGCCTCCATTTCCTCATCTCTAAAATGGAGATAATAACTGTATCTCCTTTGTTGGGTTGTTCCAAGGTTAAATAATTTAAACCTATTTGGTTATTGAGTTAAATAATTTTCCATATTTTTCTAACAACTTATTTTATCTGTTTGTAGGGCATCTTAAATAGTGCCTGGCACATGCTGAGACGTAAACTGTTATATATTGTTACAGTGGCTTTTTTTCACATGACATTTTATTGTTTGTCATATATCATCCTTTCATAGTTATTGAGAAAACAAAACCTCTCTTTGTGCTATACGATAGAACATATTCTCAGCTTTCTGCCTACTCTTTTAAAATAATATTTACAATTTAGTAATAGAAAGCAAAGCACTGTCATGAGTAAATGGACCATACCAGGTAATTATTCTTGTATATTTAGTCTTTCCTAATAGGGATGCTCTATTTGCTTTTAATACATAACTACAACCCAATATGTCCTTTTTTGGAGTCAGGTTGATTGAAGTATAATTCGCATACAAATCAAATTCCCCCTTAGGAGTGTGCAATGTGATCATGTAACCATCACTATCACCAAGATACAGAGAATTCATGTCACCTAAAATAGTTTCTGGTGCTCCTTACAACCACCTTTGAGACTCATCTCCTTAACCCTTCAGGCTTTGGCAAAACTCACCAGCTTATAGTTGCTCCTTGTGCAGGATGCTACCTTAGATCATCAGGCATGCCCTTCACCCACTCAGGCCTGGTGACTCCCACTTCTCCTTCCAGCTCCTGCTGTCACCCCTCTGCTCTCCTTCCTCTGGGTTAACACCCCTGCCTGCAGGCTCCCACCTCACCTTGGGCCTCTCTCTCTCTCTGACATATTTACATGTGACAGCCCTTCACCTGGACTGTCACCTGGGTGGATGGCAGGGAACTGTTTGCAGGCTCTGGCCTGGTGCCTGGCACTGAGCAGACAGGACCTGGAGGCTGGACTGTGCTGTGGGACATCTTTCCTGCCCTGGAAGGCTGTGATGTGGCAGATAAGGGCTTGGGGGTGGGGGTGTTGCTGATGGAGTCTGATGGGAGAAGGACAAGGGGCAGGGAGCCAGGAAAGGTGAAGGCTCAGGCCAGGCCACCTTTCCATACTGAAGTGTATGCTGTGTTGAGGCCAAACCAAACAATAAATTATGGGAGGGAACAGACACAAAGCCCTTTTTTGTGAGTACCCCTCTTTCCTAGGAACTTTGTAATTTTATTTACTAAGCCTCTACTCTGTGCAGACATTGAGTCAGGGGCTGGGTCACAGTTGTGTAGAAGACATTATTGTCACCTCCCTACCCCACCAGACCTCCTAGGCACTCATTCTTCTGCCAAAGGCTTCTTGCCACAAGCAGCTGCTTTTCTCTGCCTGAAGGCTTTCTCTGGCTGATAGGGTGAATTAAAGTCCTGCCAGAAAAAGCCCTCAAGCAATGAGGACTAGGAGTGGGTAGGCAAAGAACCCACCTCCTCACCCCTCATTGGGTAAGATATCTTGGGTGCATTCCACATGGTTTCCTGGCATGCCCTGCTATACTGAGCCCTGGCTGCCCACAGCGGTCACTTGCTTGATACTGTGTTATCAGCTCCTTCCCATTCACTGCTCATCCCCCTTTTCTACCAGTTTCCTGTGATCATCCCCCAAGTGATTCACTAGAATCCAAACCCTCCTGTCAGGATCTGCTTCTGGGAAAACCTAAACAGCGAATAAGATAAAGGAGGTAACTGTCCACAGCATGGCCCTCAAGGGCACTTCGGTCTTTACTGGGTTTATGTATGACCTAGGCTGCTTTAATACCAGGAAGGCACTCAATAAATAATGAATGAATGATGAATTTCCTCTATAAAACTCAGAGGGGACAGTGATTGCCCTGGAGAAGTACACTCATTTTCAGAGAGGTTAACTGGTTTAACCAGGGTCACTTAGAACTAGTTGGTAGCATATACCAACCAGAAGCTGGGACTCTTTACTTATTTCAAGCAGGGGCTCACAACTAGAAAAAGGCTGTAGAAAGCTAATCCAGGTTAATTCCCATTGATTAATCATTAATGTGATAAGGAACTGCTGAGATTAAAAATAAGAATGAAAGGTTTAATTTCAACTCAGACCCTCCTTAGTCTCTCAGTATGGCTTGTATTTTCCATATCTTTCTAACAACTAGTTCAGTACCAGTGACAAAAGGTGGGATATGTGATATTGTCCAAGAAATAGGTATGAGGAACACGATTCTGCAGCCACAGGAAATGGTGGAGGGCAGATCAGGCTGCAGCCACCCTTTGGGCCTCTCAGAAATCTTAATTTCAAAGATGTTGGCTTTGGCTCAAGTTCAAACAGTTAGCTTTAAGAGACACTGATATATAATGGTTAAAACCAGGCCTAAATTTATCTTAATTGAAAGACTTATTTTGTTATGCAAAGACAATGTTGGCTTTTATGGGGAGGTGGGGGGTGGTAACGAAGTAGTACTATTTGCTCAGTTTTCTGGGAAATGAGTGAGTTTTCTTAGGGCAGACACTCTTACCTCGCTTTCTGCATGGAGTAAAACGCTCTAAGGTGGATTGTAATTACTGCTCTGCCAGCTGTGATTTGGGCAAGTAACTCAGACTGTGCCTCAGTTGTACTGTCCCTAAAAATGGGTGCAATGATGTCCACCTTTCATTCTTTGTGTACCTTCTGGCCTTTGTACACCAATTACTTAGTCAAGAAAATTCTTTCTAGTACTGATTGCAATCTTTTTGAATATGGGAACTTTCCCCCCCTGGGCTGACCCCCAGCAGAATTTGTCCTCACACCCGGGCCCAGAGAGGGCGCTGCTTCGGGGGAAGTTAGCTGGGTTTAAACAAAGCATTTCTCCTGGCTGCTCGCAGGTTGCGCAACCCTGCTCAGGGTGACACCCACCGCCACTTCAGCCCGGCGGGATCCAGGGGCGCAGGCCTAGCGTTACCAGGATTCAAACCTTCTGCCGCCAGCCTCGGAAATGCCCGTCGCAAGTCCGCAACTGCAAGCCGCGCCACAGGCCTGGTGTAGGCGGGGCCGGCTTGCGCTCCTCACCCCGTGTGGTGGAGCATTTTGACCCCGCCCCGCCTCCGCGCCGCCGACCGCCGCACCGCGCGGCCCCGCCCCTCCATGGCCCCGCCCCCCGCGGTTCCCCGCAGCTCCACCCCTCCGCTATTGGCAGAGGCGGAGACCCTCCTCTCCGTCCAATGGCCGCCGCCTCGGCTCGGCCGCCTGTGCCCTGACTGGCTAGTGGCTGGCAGAGTGGCGGGGCGCTGACCAATAGGGAGAGGCGACTCGATGAATGGCTGGCCCGGGTTGGGAAGGCAGGAGGCGGTGATCCCGGCGGAGGGGGCCGTTCGCCAGCTCTGAGGCAGAAAGTGCCACGACTCCACACGCGCGCACGCAGCCAGCGAGCGGCCGGAGCGGACGGCGAACGGGGCGGACGGCGTCGGGGTCGCGGTGCTTGCAGCTGCTCGGGGGCGGTTTCTCGGCGGAGGCTCGGCCAGCTGCTCTCTTTCTGTTCGCGGCGGCGGCAGCGGCTCCTGCCCTCTCGCTCTCCCTCACTCGTCTCCGGCTGCAGGTAAGAAACTTGGCCGGGCCCTGCAGCGGCCGCGGAGGCGGTTTGCGGGCCGGGCGTTGGGGGGCCGGGGCTGGCCGCGCCGCGAGTGACACGTCTCCTTGGCAGCCCCTCCCCCGGCGGCGCCGGGCGCTGCCGGCCGTCGATGCGGCCGCGGAGCCTCGGGTCGCGTAGGGCCCCGGGGGGCGTGTACCGAGCCGAACCCGGTGCAGGGGCGTCGGCCGAGCCAGACCTGCGATGTGGCCCCCACGCCTCTCGCTGTTCGGGAGGTACCTTCCTGGCGGCCCTGCGGCGCGACGTGGCGACCCCTCCCTCTCCGCCGGGCCGTCGGGCCGGCCCGCGCGCTCCGAAGTTGGGCGAAGAAAGTTGGCGGCGGGGCGGGGCGGCGCACAGCTGGCGAAGGAAGGGGTTAAGTTTCGGGAAGCGGCCGGATGACGTTGCCGGGCTGGAGTCCGGCCTGGAGTGGGTAGGGGGCGGGCGGAAGGCGGCGGAGGCCAGCCGGGGGCGAGGGGGGGCAGGAGGGCGGGATTGAATGGGGGTCCCGGGGGCCGAGCACGCTCGCCTGTGGGCAGCGGCTCGGGGACGCTTCTGGAGGGCGGGCAGCCCCCCACAAGCTGGGCCTGGGCCGCTGGGATGCAGGGGACGCCGGCGGGTGTGGGGCCGTCCGGGGTCCGGACGGCTGGGCTGCCGCGGTGGCAACTTCCCGGAGTGAGGGCGGAGGCTCTGCTCCCCCTGGCGGCGGGGCCGGGGGCACCGTTTTCCCGGCCTGGCCGCGCGGAGCCCGGATCGAGGCCCCCAGTGGGGGCTGGGGTCACTCGAGCCCTGCCCGGTCCGCTCCACCCGCGCCACTATGAATGGACCGGCAGTGCCAGACCCGGGCGGAAGCGGGCACCTCCGGCCCGGCCAGCCAAGCGCGTTGGCACCTGGCCTGGCACCGCCCCGGCCCCCCGGGCTCCCAGTCCGCTCCCGGGGGCTGGGGAGGGCGGGCCAGGATCCGCGCTTGCATTGGGGCGTCCGAGAATTTTCAGGGACCTCTCCCCCGATGATGGGTCATAAATGATAGCCCCGTGTAGTGTAGTGGTTCAAGGAGTGGGCTTCTGGAATCCCGGCACCGCTTGACCCCGACCAGGCAGTTTCACCGCCAGTGTCCGCTTCCCTGTCTGGAAAAAATGGGGTTGCTGGTCCTTAAGGGAAGAGCTGCAAAGATCCTGCACCCGTAGGGGGAAGTCAACAAGTGTTCGCTGTTGCTGTTGGGATGAGGTTTTTGGTGTTAACGGGGCCCGGAAGGGAGGTGGAGTCTGGGTCCATCCAGCCTGCCTGCTGCAGACACCAGAAATCCCAGGGTCTGGATTTCATCCCCAAGCCACACTTTCCGACCCTAGGGTCGGGTCCCTTAACTTCCCTGAACCTGAGCTTCCTTATCTGTAGCCTGGAGATAATACCACCCACTCATAATAGGGTCAGGGCAACCTCTCAGGCAAGTGCTGGGAAAACCTGGAACCTTGTACAAACAGAAGGCAGTTTGGCAATAACTCCTGGAGGTCAGAGGTCAGTAGAAAACACCAAGGAAATGAAACTTTGAAGGTGCCTGGAAGCTTCCCACGTCACTGTTTGCTCACTGTGCTGGCACCTTTAGGGTGAGGACGCCTGGATAGCATTTTCTGGAGTCTGGGGAAACGGGCCCCCAGGGGCTTCTGTCCAGTACTCCCAGGAGGGACAGCTGCACTTTTTACACCAGCCCTATGAAGTTGGGGAGCATTCTCCCACCGACTCTGCCTCCTACTGACTTTCCCTCTGTACTTGGTCATATTAACTTCCCGTTAATGTGATACCAGAGAAGTTCTTGGTGATTCTGCAGCTTGCTGCTTACTGTGGTGAGGTCTCAATTCCCTCATGAACTTTCCAAAGGTCAGCCCCACTATGGGCTGCCAACCTGTTTCCCTTCCAGAAAGAAGCTTCCGGTTCTGAGGTCCTGAGATGCTGCTTCCCTTTCTATTTAAGCAAGGGAGGAAAGGTGGGGCAGACCTCTTAGGTTCAGTTTTCCTTGTACATGGAGCAATGCAAACCTGGCTTGCAGGACATCTGGCATGTTGAGGCTGGGAGGGGACAAGCAAGGCATCTTGGGGTTTGGAAACGGGGCATCCAGTGGGTAGAGCCAAAGGCACTGTGCTGTAACAGAACTCTTTTCTTTCTGAACATCTGTAGAGATTAAGATGGTAGAGTGGCATCTTGGTGCATGAATATTTTTTAGTTATGGGAGAGTTTTAAGTCAATCCTAAATCATTGAGTCACATTTGAGCAATTATGCTCTTTGCTGAAATGAGCCCTCAGTCAACAGGCTGCAGTAATTACACAGCACCAGATTCATTTAAGTGGTTGAATGCAAATTATTTAATTGGAATATTGTTTTTTTAAGTAACAGGGACACTTTTTAAATGTGCTAGGACCCCAGACTCCTTTTACTTGTTCTTTTATAACTTGGACCTTTAGCTAACAGGTGAGTGAACATAGGTAGTGAGTCAACAGCTCTTTGGAGACACCAGAATTTTCTTAAGATAAAATCTTGTGTCAGGAGAAAAAAAATAATGGTCAGTCAGAACTGTGAAACAGAGGCAGTGCTATCCATGTGTGCATCCTGGGCCTGCAGTGGTTAAGGCCTAGTCTGTAATACAATAAATGTTGACTAAATGAGGTAGACTGTTACTGCTGTTAAAATATTCTTGCAAGTTATCCACCTAACTCATTGAACAACTGAAGCTGAGCCCAATTTGATTTTTAAGGTTTACTATTTAGAATCAAATTCTACAACTTTGACCTATATTTAGGCCTTGCAACAACCTCATTTTATAGAGTAAGTATGGTTGTTCACAATCAGTGGATGAGAACATGGAGGCCAGCAGGTCAGGCGGTTGGTTGTCAGGCCAGCTCCTGTTGCAGTGACTCAATCTTCAGCTGCTGGCGATGTGCAGATCTAAATTCTGAATGTTCACCTTCAGTTCCCTTTAATTCCACGCTTGCTGTGGTAGTAACTACCTGAGGGAGGACACAGAACTAGAAGACTGAAATTAAGAGCTGCAGTAGAAGGGAGGGTCAGTTAAAAACGTGGTAGTGCAAGAAGGTACTTTTCATTTCTTTATCAAGTGTCTCCCATGGCCTTTGAACACTATAAACACAAATGAGACCTAGTTCTTGTCTGGAGAAGCTACTGTCCCAACTGTGTTGTCCAATACAGTAGCATGTAAAGCTGTTTAACCTAAAACAAGTAAAGTAAAGTAAAATTTAAAATTAAGTTTCTTGGTTACACCAGGTATTTTTCAAGTGCTAGTAGACATGTTGATCAGTGCACATTTAGATCATTTCCATCATCACAGAAAGTTCTCTGGACAGCATTGGTCTAGGGGTACTGGTATTTTCTAAATATTCAAGCCTATGTGTTCCTCGTGATCATTTAGAAATACCATTATGTTGACCTGTATGAATGCCCATTCTATACATCAAAAATAATTGACTAGTGGCAGTTCATGAGCTTTAACCTAATAAGATCCCACCTTTAGGAAGCATTTATTCTTGATTTGTGTGTGCATTTTAAATTGCATACCAAGAAAAAAGGGGGCAACAGCACGAATATAGTGGCCTGCCCTGAAGAGATTCTACCTAATACGAAATGCTTGTAATGGTCAAATGTACCAAACATGGATTGTAGGTATTGGACAGAAAGCGTATGCCCACGTTATGTACTTAATTCTAAATAATGGAGCCTAAGCAAGAGGGCCACTTAGCATTATAGACAGTTAACTTGGGGACTTCCTAGGAGGCTATCCTCTTAGAGAAACTTTGATGGGTCTCCTGAAACAGGCAGCCTGACTCCCACATCTAAAACCCAGACACGTCTGGTGTGTTTCCTCTAAGTGCCATTAGTGACATGTATCTCCCACCTGTCTAGCAACAGGAAGCAAATTTGTTTAATTTATAAAGAGAGTTTTATAATTTATAAATTCCATTATTTTTGCAAGACTGGAGCAGCTGCTGTCCCCAAACCTGGCAAGTTCTGTCACACGGGTGCTTTCACACCTGGCTGGCAGAGGTGGTTTCCTCAGGCAGGGACTACATGTCGGGCTCTGTGATATTCCATGTAACTTTGAGAGGATCATTGCATAGTATTTGGGAGGAATTTTCAATTCTTGGCTGTACTTATGGGCTCATCTTAGTGCTCCATGTAGAATAACATTAAAGCAAAGTTAACAAAGAACCCGGCATGATGGACAGCTATTTATTCTTGTGTTGGTTCCACTATGATTGTTTCTGAAGTTAACAGCTATTTGTAGTGATAGTGAATGTCATTTGCTACCTGAAAAGTTGAAATTAAAGACCATTTTAAACCCAAATCTTTAATTCCATGCTCTGACCAAGATTGAGGTATGAGCAAACCAGGCCTGTTTTAGGCTGTCTTGAGACTGGTTCCAGGTTGGTGCCCTCATGGACTGAACTTGGCCTGCACATGAGATTTGTTTGACCAACCTTGTATTGCTGAACAATTAAGCCATCTTATAAAAATGGACATTTTTGTTATTGTTAAAATCTAAAAAAAGACTATTGGGTTCTTTTAGGGAAAATGGTAATTTCTGACTGTGGTGTCTCTCTCTGGGCAGGGCCTTTGCTCTTGCTCATCAGCGCCCTACCCTTACTTTCATATTCTTGACTGCGGCCAGTCCCTGAGAGGGCACTGTCTACTCCTGCATCTGTGAGTCAAGGGAGGTTAGAGGGCATCGGGTGGCCCTGTCCACACAGGGTCTCCTGCTGAGCTGCAGCTCTGGGCAGTGGGAGAAGCACCCGTGGGGGCTTCTAATCCCAGAATTAAGTGGTGTGACCTTAAGCATGACTTTTTTCCTCCCTGGGCTTCAGTTTCCTCCTCATTTAAATGAAACTAGGCCAGATGGCTCCATCTTTCAGGCCACAAACTGTGGTTTACCCTTAACTCCTTGCTTTCTCACACTTGTACCCTG